TCTCAAAATGCCACTTGCCGTTGATAACGGATACGAATTTTAGGCGTTTTTAATCGATACAGTATTTCGAAATTATACGATATTGGATTACAATCTTTCTTGTCAATTGGAGAAGGAAATGTCGAACATGTTTAATGGAGATTTTGTTCATTTTATCTTCGGCACGATATAAGGTTTAGTGCTAAAGGTTGACTACGTTGGGCGCGAAAGAAGCTCTGCATACAAGCGGACACAAATCAAACTCCCCATGTGCGCGCGACACCCAAACGTAACTCTTCACCCCAAACTTGGGCCACGTTCACTCGCCCACCACCGAACTCACTCACTCCTCACCCACCTATAATCCACTCTGCACCAATCACTTTCCCAGCTCCTGCGAAGCTGCTGGGGACACAACCCCTGAACCGCATTGGCACTCACACCATGGCACAGGACGAGCTTATGCGGATACCTGATGATGATGACCAAAATCAGTGTCAACACTGGAGAAATCCGATGAGCTATAAAGCTTTTTTTCACACACGTCCAGCGAGGGGTGGGTTAGAAAGTTACAACAACGAACAACACATATTTTACCAGGTAGAGTCCACTGAGCTATTAGCTTCTTTATCAGAAGCCACCTGGCCACACGTAATAGCTCAACGAAGTGGGCTTATCGTGTGGAAATGTAGAGCAGTCAAATAGTCTAAACACGTGGTGATGTTGTTCTAAATGTGGAGGGGAAAAACCGGAGGACCGGGAGAAAATCCACGCGACCACGGGGGGAGAGAGAGAGAGAGAGACACGCAGACTCCAAATATACAGCAGCGGCAGGGGTCAGGGTCGGGATCGAACCCACGACCTCCTGTATACCTGGCGAGGTAGTTAACATCTCCTAGCCACCGTGATGATGATGAAAGAGAGACACGCAGACTCCAAATATACAGCAGCAGGGGTCAGGGTCGGGATCGAACCCACGACCTCCTGTATACCTGGCGAGGTAGTTAACATCTCCTAGCCACCGTGATGATGATGAGAGAGACACGCAGACTCCAAATATATAGCAGCGGCAGGGGTCAGGGTCGGGATCGAACCCACGACATCCTGTATACCTAGCGAGGTAGTTAACATCTCACGGGGAGAGAGAGAGAGAGACGCAATCTCAAAAATATACAGCAGCAGGGGTCAGGGTCGGGATCGAACCCACGACCTCCTGTATACCGGGCGAGGCAGTTAACATCTCACCACCCCTTAAATAATTCACAAATAAACTACGTATGGTAATTTAAAATTGCCTAAGTACACCAATTCGCAAGCTTGGAAAAGGCAGTAAAACAACAGCAACAACAGTCCCAGGCCACACCAAGACAACACACAGTCCCTCAACAAACTTGCACATGAACATTGAACTTTCGACGAATGTGGTCACCATCAAGAACAGAGTAAGGGAATGAATGAAGAACGACTCGATCCACGATTCACAAACACGAAGACGTAGGCGTCATCACGGGATCGAGTCACCCACTCTGCTCCTCCGAATTGCCCGATGATGCTGGATGTGATTACCAGCGAAACGTCGTACTCAAACTGTAAATGTTGTGGATTCACTCTTCAACACACCGGTGGTGCTAAAGTAGTGAACTATTTGTCTTTTGTCAACGTGACACTTTTTTGCTGATTGTCCGTGTCGGGTGGTGGAGGGTTACGACACATTTATAAATAACGCGATCTAACCCAAAAACATTTATGATGAACAATCTGTCTCGTAAACTACGTGCAACTATGGTTGTTGATTGAAATTGGAGTTGTTGATTTAAATCAGCAACACGTGAACAAAAAAATAAATATTTCTCACTCGAGCAAGTCAACTCGCTCACCCCCATAACTCATCATCCACTGTTGCCCCCACCAGCTCACTCACTCACCAGCTCACTCACTCACCAGCTCACTTACCAGCTCACTCACTCACCAGCTCACTCACTCACCAGCTCACTCACTCACCAGCTCACTCACCAGCTCACTCACCAGCTCACTCACTCACCAGCTCACTTACCAGCTCACTCACTCACCAGCTCACTCACTCACCAGCTCACTCACTCACCAGCTCACTCACCAGCTCACTCACTCACCAGCTCACTCACCAGCTCACTCACCAGCTTACTGACTCACTCACCAGCTCACTCACCAGCTCACTCACCACCTCACTCACTCACCAGCTCACTCACTCACCTCACTCAATCACTCACCAGCTCACTCACTCACCAGCTCACTCACCAGCTCACTTACTCACCTCACTCACTCACCTCACTCACTCACTCACCAGCTCACTCACTCACCAGCTCACTCACCAGCTCACTCACCAGCTCACTCACCAGATCACTCACTCACTCACTCACCAGCTCATCCACTCACTCACCAGCTCACTCACTCACTCACCAGCTCACTCACCAGCTCACTCACTCACCAGCGCACTCACCAGCTCACTCACCAGCTCACTCACCACCTCACTCACTCACCAGCTCACTCACCAGCTCACTCACCAGCTTACTCATTCACTCACCAGCTCACTCACCAGCTCACTTACTCACTAGCTCACTCACTCACCAGCTCACTCACCAGCTCACTCACCAGCTCACTCACTCACCAGCTCACTTACTCACTCACCAGCTCACTCACTCACAGCTCACTCACTCACTCACCAGCTCACTCACCAGCTCACTCACCAGCTCACTCACTCACCAGCTCACTCACTCACTCACTAGCTCACTCACTCACCTCACTCAATCACTCACCAGCTCACTCACTCACTCACCAGCTCACTCACTCACTAACCAGCTCATGCACTCACAGCTCACGCACTCACTCACCTCACTCACTCACTAGCTCACTCACTCACCAGCTCACTCACTCACTCACCAGCTCACTCACCAGCTCACTCACTCATTCACCAGCTCACTCACTCACTCACCAGCTCACTCACTCACCAGCTCACTCACTCGCTCACCAGCTCACTCACCACCTCACTCACTCACCAGCTCACTCACTCACCTCACTCACTCACTCACCAGCTCACTCATTCACTCACCAGCTCACTCACTCACCAGCTCACTCACTCACCCACCAGCTCACTTACTCACTCACCAGCTCACTCACTCACCTCACTCACCTCACTCACTCACCTCACTCACTCACCTCACTCACCTCACTCACTCACCAGCTCACTCACTCACCAGCTCACTCACTCACCTCACTCACTCACCAGCTCACTCACTCACCAGCTCACTCACTCACCTCACTCACTCACCAGGTCACTCACTCACCTCACTCAACTCACTCACCAGCTCACTCACTCACCAGCTCACTCACTCACTCACCAGCTCACTCACTCACTCACCAGCTCACTCACCAGCTCACTCACTCACTTACCAGCTCACTCACTAGCTCACTCACTCACTCACCACCTCACTCACCACCTCACTCACTCACTCACCAGCTCACTCACCAGCTCACTCACCAGCTCACTCACTCACCAGCTCACTAACTCACTCACAAGCTCACTCACTCACCAGCTCACTAACCAGCTCACTCACCAGCTCACTCACTCACTCACTAGCTAACTCACTCACCTCACTCAATCACTCACCAGCTCACTCACTCACTCACCAGCTCACGCACTCACAGCTCACTCACTCACTCACCTCACTCACTCACTAGCTCATTCACTCACCAGCTCACTCACTCACTCGCTCACTCACCAGCTCACTCACCAGCTCACTCACCAGCTCACTCACTCGCTCACCAGCTCACTCACCAGCTCACTCACCACCTCACTCACTCACCAGCTCACTCACTCACCTCACTCACTCACTCACCAGCTCACTCACTCACTCACCAGCTCACTTACTCACTCACCAGCTCACTCACTCGCTCACCAGCTCACTCACCAGCTCACTCACCACCTCACTCACTCACCAGCTCACTCACTCACTCACCTCACTCACTCACTCACCAGCTCACTCATTCACTCACCAGCTCACTCACCCACCAGCTCACTTACTCACTCACCAGCTCACTCACTCACCTCACTCACCTCACTCACTCACCAGCTCACTCACTCACCAGCTCACTCACTCACTTCACTCACTCACCAGCTCACTCACTCACCAGCTCACTCACTCACCTCACTCACTCACCAGGTCACTCACTCACCTCACTCAACTCACTCACCAGCTCACGCACTCACTCACCAGCTCACTCACTAGCTCACTCACTCACTCACCAGCTCACTCACCACCTCACTCACTCACCAGCTCACTCACCAGCTCACTCACTCACCAGCTCACTCACCAGCTCACTCACCAGCTCACTCACTCGCCAGCTCACTCACTCACTTACCAGCTCACTCACCAGCTCACTCACCAGCTCACTCACTCGCTCACCTCACTCACCTCACTCACCACACTCACCTCACTCACTCACCTCACTCACCAGCTCACTCACTCACCTCACTCACTCACCTCACTCACCAGCTCACTCACTCACCAGCTCACTCACCAGCTCACTCACTCACCAGCTCACTCACTCACTCACCAGCTCACTCACCAGCTCACTCACTCACCAGCTCACTCACCAGCTCACTCACTCACCAGCTCACTCACTCACTCACCAGCTCACTCACTCACCTCACTCACTCACCCACCAGCTCACTCACTCACCAGCTCACTCACTCACCAGCTCATTCACTCACTCGCTCACTCACTCACCTCACTCACCAGCTCACTCACTCATCAGCTCACTCACTTACTTACCAGCTCACTCACCAGCTCACTCACCAGCTCACTCACTCACCAGCTCACTCACCAGCTCACTCACTCACCAGCTCACTCACCAGCTCACTCACTCACCAGCTCACTCACCAGCTCACTCACTCACCAGCTCACTCACTCACCAGCTCACTCACTCACTCACCAGCTCACTCACTCACCAGCTCACTCACCAGCTCACTCACTCACCTCACTCACCTCACTCACTCCGTCCATCAGAGTCGAGGAGACGTCTCCGTCAATACTCTGGAACGTGCCAACTCCTTCAAATGTTCTCTGTTCCTGCGGTCGATGGCAGCTCGATGCCGATCGTGTGGCGGTGTTGCTGCTGGCCACGACGAGGGGGCTTCGCCAGAGGGAGAGAGTTCGCGTCGTTTCGCTGCTCCTCCGTTGAAAGAGAGCGGACCACAGCTATTGAACTGTACGGTCCAGTGTTGACAGCAGACTCAAAACAAGCACGATGATTTTTTTTGTTAAAATTTATGGACAAAATAAAGACCACGTAAAACACTTTTAATATAAAATGTGCGCGGTCGTTGTACGAAAGTGGAAAGCTTTGGACCCACTACCAATAATAATAATATAAATTATAAAGACCCCTCTTGAATAGTTGGTCCGTCTGTGAGTTTGAACAACACGAGCCCTGCTGGGTGTTTATATAGCGGCTGTGTGGGGTGCTCGTCTCTTCCTGTGTCCACTGCTCACACTCACTCCACCTACCACCCCTGACTCCACTCGTCATTCCCTCGGCACAACCCAGCACCCCCCACCATGATCCCCTCCTCCGCCTGACGTTCATTGACGGGAGAAAGCCACTTCGTGTGAGATACAAAACCATCATCGTCGCCGCCGCCGTGGAGAATGCATCAGCGCAGTAGCAGTGTAAGTGTGTCAGCCGACGCGGCCACCTGCACATTACCCTCCCTGCACATACGCACAAGGAGATCCCGTCAGCCACAGGGACTTCTGGCGGTGAATCATTCTCAGCAGGAGATTAGCAACAACGACGATCACTGGTTTACCTTACCAGGTCATTCCCATTGCTCTGGTGTTCGTTCATTATCACCAATAGCGTCATCTTCACGGAGTCCTGCAGATACTGGCCTCGCCACTGAGGTGTGGAGTTCACACTATTGGCTTGCCAGGGATATTAAAATTATAATAATGATAATCACTCTGAGCAGAGACCTCTGGGTATAATTGACCAGTGTGTGTTGCTCCCAGGAGCAGGTTGCATGGGCACAGGTCTTACGCCGTGAGATTGAACATTGTCGACAAAGCATTTACATAATAAAGAGGGCATCACTCGTTCTGGACTCGCACTTTGTTATGTAATGTTACGTAAGGTATATTTTAGGGGAAACACATACTAATTAACAGATTACTAACGTAGCATATAATCACAATAACACACATTACAACTAATTACTAATCTACAACTCATTACTAATCATAACCATTGACTGATTACCAAACGATTATATAATTACAATACCACCTCCCCCCTCCGCCTCAAATCACTGCACCTGAATGAGTTAAATGTTGACGTCACCCTACTGCTTTATGTAAGACCGGGAGCAAGTGAGGGCTTTACCATTCTGGCGATTTGCCCGATGATGCTGGATGTAATTACCAGCGAAACGTCGTACTCAAATTTTAAATGATGTTGATTCACTCTTCAACACACCGGTGGGCTAAAGCGGTGAACTATTTGTCCTTTGTAAACGCGACACATTTTTTTACTGTTTGGCCGTGTCGGGTGGTGGAGGGTTACGACACATTTATAAATAACGCGATCCAACCCCAAAAAAACCTTTATTATGAAGGTATATTGCTTATTCATTTACTATAATTACACGGACACGCCTATCACGTGGCTCAAAATAGCCTAGGCCTAAAGCCGTTTTCGCTTAATATACACTGCGGATTAGCGGTATTCTCGCGGAATGCATGACCTCGGTCTTTTGAGCCTTTTCAATAAAAAACACACGAGACTGCTAAAACATTACACCTGTGTTATATAAATTTACTCTGCCTGTGCCATATCTACAGAGTAGTTGTCATCTGCACTCCCACAGTAGTCCGCTTGTGCGATTCAAGCCACAATGGGTGATCAAGAAAGTTTTGGGGCACAATTACAAAAAAGCAATGCCTGACCTAGTACAAAGTGTCGTCTCGTACACGGTCTCATTGAAGTTCTGACTTTAAAAATGTGGCCGATCTTTTTTTCACTTTGTAAAGAACTTGCGGACCAGCCGACAGCGCTCCATCACCCACGATCTCCAGGCTCTCAGCAGCATCATCCTCGTGGACCACGTGGATCTGACTGCGTCACAAACGACGCCGTGACATCATCCTCGTGGACCACGTGGATCTGACTACGTCACAAACGACGCCGTGACATCATCCACGTGGACCAGGTGGATCTGACTGCGTCACAAACGACGCAGTGACATCATCCTTGTGGACCAGGTGGATCTGACTGCATCACAAACGACGCCGTGACATCATCCTCGTGGACCAGGTGGATCTGACTACGTCACAAACGACGCCGTGACATCATCCTTGTGGACCAGGTGGATCTGACTGCGTCACCAACGACGCCGTGACATCATCCTTGTGGACCAGGTGGATCTGACTACGTCACAAACGACGCCGTGACATCATCCTCGTGGACCAGGTGGATCTGACTGCGTCACAAACGATGCCGTGACATCATCCACGTAGACCAGGTGGATCTGACTACGTCACAAACGACGCCGTGACATCATCCTCGTGGACCAGGTGGATCTGACTGTGTCACAAACGATGCCGTGACATCATCCTTGTGAGCAAGGTGGATCTGACTGCGTCACAAACGACGCTGTGACATCATCCTCGTGGACCAGGTGGATCTGACTATGTCACAAACGACGCCGTGACATCATCCTCGTGAACCAGGTGGATCTGACTGCGTCACAAACGACACCGTGACATCATCCACGTGGACCAGGTGGATCTGACTGCGTCACAAACGACGCCGTGACATCATCCTTGTGGACCAGGTGGATCTGACTGCGTCACAAACGACGCCGTGACATCATCCTTGTGGACCAGGTGGATCTGACTGCGTCACAAACGACGCCGTGACATCATCCTTGTGGACCAGGTGGATCTGACTGCATCACAAACGCCGCCGTGACATCATCCTCATGAACCACGTGGATCTGACTGCGTCACAAACGACGCCGTGACATCATCCTCGTAAACCAGGTGGATCTGACTGCGTCACAAACGATGCCGTGACATCATCCTTGTGGACCAGGTGGATCTGACTGCATCACAAACGACGCCGTGACATCATCCTCGTGGATCAGGTGGATCTGACTTCGTCACAAACGATGCCGTGACATCATCCTCGTGGACCAGGTGGATCTGACTGCGTCACAAACGACGCCGTGACGTCAAGAACGGTCTCCCCCCCCCCCCATACCCCCCACGTAGGGGACCTCATCTGACACCACCGTGTCTGTATGCACGTATGTTGAACTTCGTCCGCACCGTACGTAGCCAAGCGTGTCTGGGCCTAGTTCGGGCACGAAGCTCCGTCTTGAACGACCAGACGACCAGACAGACGACCAGACAGACGACCAGACAGACGACCAGACAGACGTCCAGACAGACGTCCGGCCTCGCCTCGCCCTGCGGCCGAGCGTCGACGACAGATCCAGGAAACGAACCGCGTCCACGCGTGTGCTCGCGAGGGACTCCCCACGCTGAAGCTGGTGCCGGTCACGGAACGTCGTCGCGCTCGAGGACGCCGGACCGTGCCTATCCAGCAGCAGCAGCAGGAGGCCTTGGCTGGGGGCGACGGATCACGGTGACACCGCTTTGCGACTCCTGCTACTACCATTGAGGTCCAATGCATTAGGCCCCTTAACGTGTGCTGTGAGCAAGTGGTTTGCGCCTCCAATCCATTCATTGCCACTTTGAACAATTGAGAATTAAATGACGAGCCACGGTGGTGCGATTGTGGACATGCAACCAGAACTCTAGAGCACGTGGTAAAGTAAACCCACTGTAGTCTTACACTCCTGCAAACGGAGGAGCAACAGCAAAACGACGCGAACTCTTTCTCTCTCTCTGCTGAAGCCTCCTCGTTGTGTCCAACAGAGACCTCCACATTGGCATCGAGCTCCTCGTAGTTTTGCCCCCCCCCCCCCCCCCCCATCGTGTGCAAAAATAACGTTGGGCACTTCAGACGTTTGTTCCGAAGACGTCAGATTGACACAGTTAAAGGCCCAATAAACTGCTTTGCGAGGCCTTCCTCTGTGGAAACGTTTGGAGGCACTGGGACTCATCTCTGGTGGTAAGTATGGGGGGAGGAGGAGAAAGGGGGGCGCCATTATTGGCCAATTTAAATCAGGCATCATAAGTGGCAGCTATTACAACGTTAGACGTGTGAACTGGAGATGCGTGCGTACCCAGGGCACAGGGCAGCTAAGCAAGACTCTTGCCAGTGGTTGAACGCTGCTAAAATAATTCCGTGCCAATAAATGTGAGCGGAGAGAGATCACTGTGGGCGTTCGGCACGGATGAATTCCTGTTGGCGCGTGCGCGTACATGCGTGGAATCGCGCTGTGTGAAGGCTATTTTGCCATAGACATACGTGTTATAAGGGGGGTTGCGTTACCGGAGAAAAAATAAGTATAATTCAATTTAATTATTCATGGCCTGGATTTACAAATCCCGTATAAATGTGATACTTAACAATATTATTAACATTACAAAAAAATACTTAATAAGGAAAATAATAAAGTACAATAATTTTTTGTTTTATTTCATAATATTTCTACCTACGTGACTTTACCGACAGAACCAAAGAGTATTGATTCCTGCAGTCACGAAAGCTTCAAATCAAGACTTAATAAGGAGCATAGTAACGAATAACAATTAATGTTTAAAATAAAAGATTACTGCTTTAAAAATATAACTTATATTCTTAGCTCTTTCGGTAAAGTCACGTTGAAGGGAAACAATAAAATAATAAATTATATATAAAACAATAAAAATTCTCACGACGTTTCTACCATAACACAAACGGTCATCATCAGGTGTGAAAACCAACGTTTGTGTTATGGTCGAAACGTCGTGAGAATTTTTATTGTTTCATATATATTATATTATTTTATTGTTTCCCCTCAACGTGACTTTACCGAAAGAGCTAAGAATATGAATTACTGCAGTCACGAAAGCTTTAAATAAAAAAATTAACTTAACGAGGGGTAACTTCCGGGCTTCTTGGACGCCTGTGCAGACTGCTTCTACGCAGCTCTCGGACGGCGGCGCGCAGCCCCTGACGCTGCCATCACGCGGCGGCGATGACGCCACCAGATTGAGATGTTTGTTCGTTAACCCGCAACATATTTTGCTTTCAATTAAAAGTTGTATCATTAAATCATTATTATTATTATTATCATTTTCACTTCGCAATTATTTGTTTTTCTTTCTCTCGGGCACGTAACCGTGAAGCGAGACCCGTGAAGATGAAACGCGTGACCGTGAAGCGAGACCCGTGAAGATGAAACGCGTGACCGTGAAGCGAGTCCCGTGAAGATGAAACGCGTGACCGTGAAGCGAGTCCCGTGAAGGTGAAACGCGTAACTGTGAAGCGAGTCCCGTGAAGATGAAACGCGTGACCGTGAAGCGAGTCCCGTGACGATGAAACGCGTGACCGTGAAGCGAGTCCCGTGAAGATGAAACGCGTGACCGTGAAGCGAGTCCCGTGAAGGTGAAACGCGTAATGGCGAAGCGAGTCCCGTGAAGGTGAAACGCGTGACCGTGAAGCGAGTCCCGTGAAGACGAAACGCGTAACTGTGGATTCGCGCTATGGAGACG